TCTTATGGAAGAGTTTTGAATAAAAAATCCAAGATAATAGCTGTGAACAGAAGCTCGGCTCAACTTTACAAGAATTCTGATATGTTCTGGTCTCCATCAATAGCCATTCAAGGTAACTCAAAGAAGGGATTGTGTCTCCATAGAAACAGGTCCAGGATTTGTAGCGTTACTGGACACCAAAGATCCTGACATGAAAGTACCGGGGGACTCTCCCTTATAAGAGGTGGCGGGGGCCCTCGGTGGAAAGTCACCAATTAAAAGGACCTGTATTGTGAGATCTAATAAGGGACTTGGCAGTGATGAAATTTCTCCCCTAAAAGGAACCAATCAGTAACCAGTCATTCTATAGTTTATCGATTTTATTTGTACATTGACACAAGTGACAAACGCCGTCTTCTTGTCGAGTTTACGACAGTTTTGATCTTATATTGACAGCTGTATGGCCTTCTTTCTACTCTAAAAATGACCACAAAATTCTTGTAATTATCACCCTAATGGATTCACAGCAATAATTTCAAACCCCGAAGGAACCACGTGTCCACTGGGGTTCCTGTGTAATGACATCACAGCTTATATATGTTTATCATATAATTATCTATGAAATACCTATATTTCTCCATTTCGTAAAGTTGATATTTTCACTATTGAAAATAACACATTCGAGATTTCTCTATATAGTGGAAGTAAAAAAAGGTATTTTACGGCAGGATTTGCTTTCATATGTAATTATATGATAAACAGCTGTGCTCACTGCCCTCTAAGATAAAATCCATATCTCCGCGCGCCCATGTAATATTCTCTATGTTTGTTTTCAAGGGGATCCTGCATCGTTTGTGGTATCCCTGTGTAGTAGTCTTCAGGGATACACATGTCCAAGTGATTGGRTAGAAACACTGAAAGAAAGAGACTTAGARAAAGRGAAGGCAAACAGGTAAGCTGAACTTMGGGTGATTGGTAAGAGGGAGSGCAATGRACCTCTGGGAAATGCCGATTTAAACGATACGATATTGACATGCGACTGTAGTATGCGATTTGCCTACAAAATGTCGTAGGTGCTATTGCGAACCGACAGAACATAATCATAAGGTCATCCTTATGTATGAATCAGCTTATGATTCTGCTTCTGTATGCTTATGTTGTAGGTACTAGAGTCGTTTTCGTATGAGTGGGAAACGGTGATGACGAATCGCCTCCGTACCGTAACCGTACCGTAACCGTACCGTAACAGTACCGTAACCGTACCGTAACAGTACCGTAACAGTACCGTAACTGTATCTTATTCATGGATTCTGATTTGTTGGAATTTTTTTCTGCCCCCATCTGATTGGATTGATTTGTAGACTATTCACGCAAAAACGACTGTCGTATACGATTCGTAAACACTAAACTGGCAATTTAATTGGACGAAATTGTAGTTCCAGTACTCACGTCAATTTGATTTTGATCTTTGGCTTCTTAACTCTACATGTCGCGAATCGTGTGCGTCAGACGTTGGGAAGTCGTAGGGGCATTTACACGACACGACTTGAAGCTCTTTTGAGTCGAATAGTACAAGTCGCACGCGACAATCGCATCCTTCATGTAAATTAGTCTTAAAGGCCCAGTGTGCACCATTATGCTTCGGGGTTCGCGAGGGCATGGAGGCGGCCATTTTGAGTTTACCGAAAGTCCATAAATTGTACTGTGTGCTTCGATTCTTTGACCATCTCACTTTTCTAAGCACTTTAAACGCTAATATTAGAGTTTTCAACCATCTGAAATTCGTTTTATAGTGATATTTGGATACTAGAAGTATTTTGGTGTAAATCATAACAATAACAGATGCTCGCAAAGCATAATGGTGCAAACTGGGTCTTTAAACCTGTTTTAACAGCATATACTGGGGTTTTAACATTGTAAACATGCTTTTTTTCCCGGTATTGAACAGGGCTTTTGGCATCTTAGTTCTGGTACCAAACGTCAGGCAGTCGAAAATCTCAAAGTGCCGTGCTTGTGACTATACAAATTGTCGAACAGTGTTTTTGGTCTTTAAATTACAGTTGTTCCAACGATTTCTTTTTTAATAGATTGCCTGACATTTAGTTCTGGGACTAAAGGTCAGGTTGTCTGACGTTTCGACACTCGTTTCTTATATAGTCTGAAAGCTGAAGAACAAACGAACAACTATTTAAATCCACTTAAATTACTACACTGTGTGGAGCAGGTCATGTCTAAAGATTCTATTATTGTTGCTGATGGTGGAGACTTTGTTGGGACTGCTGCTTATATTCTAAGGTAAAGATAGAAATGTCCGTAATATAGAGGTGTCTATGATATAGAGGTGTCTGTGATATAGAGGTGTCCGTAATATAGAGGTGTCTGTAGTTTAGAGGTGTCTGTAATATAGAGGTGTCCGTTATTTAGAGGTTTTCGTAATATATTGGTGTCCGTAATATAGAGGTGTCTGTAATATAGAGGTGTCCGTAATATAGAGGTGTCCGTAATATAGAGGTGTCTGTAATATAGAGGTGTCCGTAATATAGAGGTGTCCGTAATATAGAGGTGTTCGTAATATAGAGGTGTCTATGATATAGAGGTGTCCGTTATTTAGAGGTGTCCGTAATATAGAGGTGTCCGTAATATAGAGGTGTTCGTAATATAGAGCTGTCTGTAATATAGAGATGTCCGTAATATAGAGTTGTCCGTAATATGGAGGTGTCCGTAGTAAAGAGGTTTTTTGTAATTTCGTAATATACAGGAATTAATTTTTTTAGACCACGTGGTCCTTTGACCTGGCTAGACCCTGGTGCGTTTGGAACCTTAGGGGTAGGGGGTGGTTTTGCTCTTGGTGCTAAACTTTGCCGTCCAGATTCTGAAGTATGGATTATATACGGCGATGGTTCCCTTGGTTACAGTGTAGCTGAATTTGACACGTTTGTTAGGCACAAGGTAGGTAGGGTATGGAGCCACCTTAAAGGGTTAAGCACACGTTGGCTGCAACAGTTCTATGTCATATTTCACCCATCCATTTTCCATTCTTCTAAGAGGATAGACTCCTTGCATGTGACGTCATATCAGCTTCTTCTTCTTGGGAGAAGACTTGTTCCAAGTCTCGCTCGCTGTTTACTCTCGAGGGACGACGAAATACTCCAATAGCCAACTTTCGATATTTTGGTTCGATGACTGTACAAAAGAACGCACACGAGGCTCCGGGAAAACAATGGATAATATTGATTTATTCTTTTATTTCCCCGGAGCCTCGTCTGCAATTCTTTTGTGCATGGTCACTGAACCCAGGGACCCACGTCCCTGCTGAACCAAAATATCTAAAGTCGGCTATTTCAAGTTCTGTGTTTGCTCTGTGTATAAGCCTCTCAAACCCAAGTAATCTTTTCTTTTGTTTTATTGATAGCCCGAGAAAATGCATGGAATTTGAAAAGAAAGACAAATGAGSAGAATTCGAAATGGGATTATTCCCCGAAGGAACGTTATTCCGAAGAGTTTCGGAAGTTGTTTGTGAGAAAGGTGTAACGTTTCACCTCAGGAGGACCAGATTTGGTTTGAATGTTTGAATTCTTCCGAAGGCAAAACACAGGGAAAACGTGTGTTAATTGGTCAATTTACCCTGCATGGCATAAGACTTTGGAGAAAAAGATTTTATATGCTTGAGACGGTTTCTGTGAAGGCCCAGTTCAATGAATATATAATSTCTCACGGTCGGCTTCGGCAACTCTTCGGAATAACATTCGGGAAATTTCGTAATCGCTCAATCTTAAACAGGGAGAGAGACTCGAAACAATCCTACCTTAGGAGCAAAAATACAATATTTTCAAAACATTCCTCTCTAGGAGGATAAATCAAATGTTTTGTTCCCCATATGGAACTGAATTCCCATGAAATGCCAGGTTTCTATTGCTAATCATTTATCGATTTCCTTGGGTCGCTTTACAAATTTATCCATTTATTTTGAGTCTTTCATTCGTTCYTTCATTCTTTTCAGACTCCCGTCATCGCATTAGTTGGTAATGACGCATGTTGGTCACAAATCGCTAGAGAACAAGTCCCAATGTTTGGTTCAAGTGTAGCTTGTGACTTAGAGGTAAGAAATCCTTTAATTGCTTTTTTGATAAAGAAAGATTCTTTTGAGAGCATGCGTTGTGGGCCGGTTCACACTACAACGTAACCTAAAGCAGAAGAAGGGATTTTGTTATGTTTTAACCTGGGARGAAAACATTAACCGTGCCAAATCTTTTCCATTTCCTTATGTTTCTGATTTTTCTTATGTTAAAAACATTATTATTGCGAACCGACAGAACATAATCATAAGGTCATCCTTATGTCAAGTATGAATTCACTTATGATTCTGCTTCTGTATTCTTATGTCGAAGTGTGATTAACTGTTCTTATTTTCTCACTCGATCCCAGTTCACAGACTACCATGTTGTAGCGGAAGGATATGGCGGAGCAGGACTGAAACTAGYCGACAACAAGTCCAAAGACATGGAAGCATGCTTAGAGAAAGCTAAGGATATTGCTAGATCAGGAAAGGCTGTGTTAATTAATGCTTTGATTGCAAAATCGAATTTTCGAGAGGGCTCGATCTCAGTTTGAACACAATACTCTGTTCGCTGCTAGTGTGTTATATTTTGCGATTTCCAAAGACCTCGGAAAACTGAAATGGTACTCGTTTTGATGACATTTTGATTGGGCGAAATTCATCGTATAGTCTTCACGGTTCCCTGCGCCATCTTGAAAGGTAGCCGAGCCTTTATATCGAAGCGAGGCAACCGTTGAGCGTACAATGATAGATACCTGTGAATAATTATCTGTAGGTGTGAAAGAATCCTAGNGGGAAGAAAACATTAACCGTGCCAAATCTTTTCCATTTCCTTATGTTTCTGATTCTGCTTATGTTAAAAAACATTATTATTGCGAACCGACAGAACATAATCATAAGGTCATCCTTATGTCAAGTATGAATTCACTTATGATTCTGCTTCTGTATTCTTATGTCGAAGTGTGATTAACTGTTCTTATTTTCTCACTCGATCCCAGTTCACAGACTACCATGTTGTAGCGGAAGGATATGGCGGAGCAGGACTGAAACTAGCCGACAACAAGTCCAAAGACATGGAAGCATGCTTAGAGAAAGCTAAGGATATTGCTAGATCAGGAAAGGCTGTGTTAATTAATGCTTTGATTGCAAAATCGAATTTTCGAGAGGGCTCGATCTCAGTGTGAACACAATACTCTGTCACTGCTAGTGTGTTATATTTTGTGATTTTCAAGATCTCGACAAACTGAAATGGTACATTCTGATTGGGCGAAATTGATCATAATAGTCTTCTTCACGATTCCCTGTGCCATCTTGAAAGGTAGAACAGATATAGAAATGAAAGAAAGTTATAGTGCTTAGAAGGAGGCAATACTACAATTTCGAGTTCTGGTTTGCTCTGTGTTAGCCTCATAACCAAGCAACATATTCTTTTGTTTCATTGATAGCCCGAGAAAACGCATGGAATTTGTGAAGAAAGACAATAGAATTGATTTGAAATCTCACACTTTTATTCTCACAATTAGGAATATTTTGCGCACAAATGAGGCTAACACAGAGCATTGGAGAATTCGAAACTGGAGTATTCCGAAGAGAAATGCCATTAGGAATAAATTCGGAAAAATTTATTTCCGACCTCGCTGGGATTCGAACCCACGACCTTCGGATTTGTACTACCGATGCTCTACCAGCTAAGCTACGAGGCCAGACTGGGAGCAGGTCGGGGTGAAATAGATGTTGGGTTGCGGTAATAGAATAATGTATGTTCATATTCATATCTTGAAAGGTAGCCGTACCTTTATATCGAAGCGAGACAACCGTTGAGCGTGCAATGATAAATACCTGCGAATAATTGTCTGTAGGTGTGAAAGAAGGTTTCTATCATTACACGCTAAACCGTTTCTTGCTTCGAAAGATTGAAATGCACGCCTACCTTTCAAGATGGCGCAGGGAACCGTGAAGGAGACCGTTATAACAGGGTTCTGGCTACTCCTTCAGCCTGCGTTGGAACGTAAGAAGGGTTTGGGTTCGGCTGCATGCAGGCTGTACACCTTGAATTTCTTTGAAAGCTCTGGAATTGAGAACTTGTTTAAAAATAGGAATACATTTCAAAAAATCCTGGAAAAGTACGTGAATCTGTCGATTTTACAGATTTTCAACTTTTTCATTAAGTCGCCACCAGATATGTCTAAAAACATCAAACACGATCTTTAAAAAGTAGTCCTTAAAAATCGGAATTTTGTGATTAGAAATGATTCAAAATTCCTGGGATCAAAATCAACCGTAAAATGGCGTTTGCACCTCACTCAGTTTAAATACATTGAGTGCAAATAAATAGAAAAATCCCTACTGATTAAAAAGAAATAAAGAATTACTGTGTATTGAAAGATCTCTGAAGCTTTTACGTCATATACCGTGTACGCAATGCATTGTAGGATATGTTTGGGACAAAACATGGCGGATTCATTTTGTTTTCTCCACAGCCTAATACCACAATTCATTGCAAATCAAGTAGATGACGTAAAAGCTTGTATTTTAAATAGAATTTACGTAGGATTGAATAAATGTCAATAGTGTAACAACGATTCTAAAAAACAAATTTTATCAATTAAAAATAAGGAAGAAATGTTGACAAATCGATCGTTTTCAACCTTTCCCGTGAGATTCAAAAGATACAAGACCGGCGGCCATGTTGGAGGAATGAACAATAGATTCTAATGAGAAGTCATTTGTTAAAGTTCCTTCAAGATGGCCGCTGTGACGTAGGTAAAAACGAAGAATATTGTTATTTCATGATCAAGAGATTCAAAATATTTAAGCACCCAGATTATCCTGGAGAGGTGACTGCATTACAGAAAAAGAGAGAAATATACAGAACTTTCCTGTTAGCAGAGTAACTCTCAATGCAGTTCCCGACAGCAATAGAGACTCTGCCGACTCAAGCTACTTTGCTTGAATATTGGCGTATCCAGGATTTTCATTGGAGTTGTGTCCTTACATACCAAATTGTCACTGTGACGTCATTTGACGTCAATATGATGTCGATAAATCTATGTTTTTTACGCTTTTTT